ATTCATCACCCTGACATCATTCATCACCCTGACATTCATCACCATGACATCATTCATCACCCTGACATTCATCACCCTGACATTCATCACCATGACATCATTCATCACCATGACATTCATCACCCTGACATTCATCACCCTGACATTCATCACCCTGACATCATTCATCACCCTGACATTCATCACCATGACATCATTCATCACCCTGACATTCATCACCATGACATCATTCATCACCATGACATTCATCACCCTGACATTCATCACCCTGACATTCATCACCATGACATTCATCACCCTGACATTCATCACCCTGACATTCATCACCCTGACATTCATCACCCTGACATTCATCACCCTGACATTCATCACCATGACATTCATCACCCTGACATTCATCACCCTGACATTCATCACCCTGACATTCATCACCCTGACATTCATCACCCTGACATTCATCACCATGACATTCATCACCCTGACATTCATCACCCTGACATTCATCACCTGACATTCATCACCCTGACATTCATCACCATGACATCATTCATCACCCTGACATTCATCACCATGACATCATTCATCACCCTGACATTCATCACCATGACATTCATCACCCTGACATTCATCACCCTGACATTCATCACCATGACATCATTCATCACCCTGACATTCATCACCCTGACATTCATCACCCTGACATTCATCACCCTGACATTCATCACCCTGACATCATTCATCACCCTGACATTCATCACCATGACATCATTCATCACCCTGACATTCATCACCATGACATCATTCATCACCCTGACATTCATCACCCTGACATTCATCACCATGACATCATTCATCACCCTGACATTCATCACCATGACATCATTCATCACCCTGACATTCATCACCCTGACATTCATCACCCTGACATTCATCACCCTGACATTCATCACCATGACATCATTCATCACCATGACATTCATCACCCTGACATTCATCACCCTGACATTCATCACCATGACATTCATCACCCTGACATTCATCACCCTGACATTCATCACCCTGACATTCATCACCCTGACATTCATCACCCTGACATTCATCACCCTGACATTCATCACCCTGACATTCATCACCATGACATCATTCATCACCATGACATTCATCACCCTGACATTCATCACCCTGACATTCATCACCCTGACATTCATCACCCTGACATTCATCACCCTGACATTCATCACCCTGACATTCATCACCATGACATTCATCACCATGACATTCATCACCATGACATTCATCACCCTGACATTCATCACCCTGACATTCATCACCCTGACATTCATCACCCTGACATTCATCACCCTGACATTCATCACCCTGACATTCATCACCCTGACATTCATCACCCTGACATTCATCACCCTGACATCATTCATCACCATGACATTCATCACCCTGACATTCATCACCATGACATTCATCACCCTGACATTCATCACCATGACATTCATCACCCTGACATTCATCACCCTGACATTCATCACCATGACATTCATCACCCTGACATTCATCACCATGACATTCATCACCCTGACATTCATCACCCTGACATCATTCATCACCATGACATTCATCACCCTGACATTCATCACCATGACATTCATCACCCTGACATTCATCACCATGACATTCATCACCCTGACATTCATCACCCTGACATTCATCACCCTGAACATTCATCACCCTGACATTCATCACCCTGACATTCATCACCATGACATTCATCACCCTGACATTCATCACCCTGACATTCATCACCCTGACATTCATCACCCTGACATCATTCATCACCATGACATTCATCACCCTGACATTCATCACCATGACATTCATCACCCTGACATTCATCACCATGACATTCATCACCCTGACATTCATCACCCTGACATTCATCACCCTGACATTCATCACCCTGACATTCATCACCCTGACATTCATCACCCTGACATCATTCATCACCCTGACATTCATCACCATGACATTCATCACCCTGACATTCATCACCCTGACATTCATCACCATGACATTCATCACCCTGACATTCATCACCATGACATTCATCACCATGACATTCATCACCCTGACATTCATCACCATGACATTCATCACCCTGACATTCATCACCATGACATTCATCACCCTGACATTCATCACCATGACATTCATCACCCTGACATTCATCACCATGACATTCATCACCATGACATTCATCACCATGACATTCATCACCCTGACATTCATCACCATGACATTCATCACCCTGACATTCATCACCCTGACATTCATCACCATGACATTCATCACCCTGACATTCATCACCATGACATTCATCACCATGACATTCATCACCCTGACATTCATCACCATGACATTCATCACCATGACATTCATCACCCTGACATCATTCATCACCCTGACATTCATCACCATGACATTCATCACCCTGACATTCATCACCCTGACATTCATCACCATGACATTCATCACCCTGACATTCATCACCATGACATTCATCACCATGACATTCATCACCCTGACATTCATCACCCTGACATTCATCACCCTGACATTCATCACCCTGACATTCATCACCCTGACATTCATCACCCTGACATCATTCATCACCCTGACATTCATCACCCTGACATTCATCACCCTGACATTCATCACCCTGACATCATTCATCACCATGACATTCATCACCCTGACATTCATCACCCTGACATTCATCACCCTGACATTCATCACCCTGACATTCATCACCCTGACATTCATCACCCTGACATTCATCACCCTGACATTCATCACCTGACATTCATCACCCTGACATTCATCACCCTGACATCATTCATCACCCTGACATTCATCACCATGACATTCATCACCCTGACATTCATCACCCTGACATTCATCACCCTGACATCATTCATCACCCTGACATTCATCACCATGACATTCATCACCCTGACATTCATCACCCTGACATTCATCACCCTGACATTCATCACCCTGACATCATTCATCACCATGACATTCATCACCCTGACATTCATCACCATGACATTCATCACCCTGACATTCATCACCATGACATTCATCACCCTGACATTCATCACCCTGACATTCATCACCCTGACATTCATCACCCTGACATTCATCACCCTGACATTCATCACCCTGACATCATTCATCACCATGACATTCATCACCCTGACATTCATCACCATGACATTCATCACCCTGACATTCATCACCATGACATTCATCACCCTGACATTCATCACCCTGACATTCATCACCCTGACATTCATCACCCTGACATTCATCACCCTGACATCATTCATCACCATGACATTCATCACCCTGACATTCATCACCCTGACATCATTCATCACCATGACATTCATCACCCTGACATTCATCACCATGACATTCATCACCCTGACATTCATCACCATGACATTCATCACCCTGACATTCATCACCCTGACATTCATCACCCTGACATTCATCACCCTGACATTCATCACCCTGACATTCATCACCCTGACATCATTCATCACCATGACATTCATCACCATGACATTCTACTCTCAGTTCTTTCTCTAAATCAACAGCAACTTCATTGTGTCTGCAGATGTTATCAAGAATTAGCTTCACTCCCTACAACACCAGCTACTGTTTATCAGCTACTGTTTATCAGCTACTGTTTATCAGCTACTGTTTATCAGCTACTGTTTATCAGCTACTGTTTATCAGCTGTTTATCAGCTACTGTTTATCAGCTACTGTTTATCAGCTACTGTTTATCAGCTACTGTTTATCAGCTACTGTTTATCAGCTGTTTATCAGCTACTGTTTATCAGCTACTGTTTATAAGTTCCTGTTGTTTACAAAATCTTGGTAAAAGTATATACACCGAGGTGAGTATCTCAGTGTATATATGCTGAGATATTTATCTTTCAGCTGTGTATAATATATATGTCGTGCCGAATAGGTAAAACTGGTCAATTAACAAGAACTCATTTAAAATTAAGTTCTTTCTAAAATTTTCTCTTATACATTTAGAGATATATTTTTTCATTTATGTTAATGTAAAAATTAATAATTTTGTACCAAAAGAACCTTAGAAAACTTACCTAACCTTATCTTAACAAGAGCAACTTAATTTAACCTAATCCAACTAAATATATTTTAGATAAGTTTACAATAATTTAAACAAATACAATTAAATACATTTTTTCGTTAGGTTCAGAATAATTTTTGAAAAATTATTGCATACGCAATTTTAGCTTACCTTATTCGGCAAGAAGAGCGTTGCTATTTAAGCCAAAATCGCAAGTTTTACCTATCAGGCACGACATTATATATATATATATACATATATATATATATATATATATATATAATATATATATATATATATATATATATATAATATATATATATAATACATACACATACATGTATATATATATATATACATGTATAATATATATATATATATATATATATATATATATATATATATATATATATATATATATATATATATATATATATACATACATGTATATATATATATATACATGTATATATATATAATATATATATATAAATATATATATATATATATATATATATATATATATATATATATATAATAATATATATATATATATACACACATTGCAAAAGGTGTCTGTGTATATACACACTCAGACTATTATACTAGTATACACATAAATCCCCATTCAAGGAACCATTATCCCATTTAATTCAGGTACACAGGTGAACTGCAACCTTAACACCCATCCCGTAACAGCTGCAACCAGCCCGGTTGGTCCGGGTCCGGGACCAGTCCACAGCCTCCCCTCGCTTCCACCCGTGGGCTGGTCTAGGAGCTGGCAGCGGGAGGGAAGATGCTTCCCTGGGACTCACCTGGTGGTCTGGGCAGGTGGGATGGCGCGCCATCTGTGAGGTGAAGGGCTTGCGGGATGCCAACACGTCTCCTCTAGTGCCCATCCTCCGCTCCAACGCCCTGGAAGACACACACTTCAATGACCTTAAGTTTACCCTCAAATAAAAAACTAACACAATATTAATAAGGTCAAGTTTACCTTCAAGAACTTTATCACAACTCCCCATTTTTCTCCCACAAAGAAAGTTCCTCTGGCAATTCCCCCACCCATTTTTTTCACTCTTTAAATTCCCACTTACTTCCCGTGAACCCCATTTCTCTACCATGTACCCCATTTCCCCTCGCCATGAACCCTATTTCCCTTCCCATAGACCCCATTTCCCTCCCATGAAACCCATTTACCTCCCCAAGAATCCCATTTCCCTCCCATGAACCATGTTTCCCTCTCATTAACCCCATTTCCTGACACGCCCCTGTTTCCCCGCCTTCCACAACCCATTATTCCCTCCCATGAGTTACAACCTCGTCTCCCTCATACATCCCTCATCACTCTGGGACTATATATGTTAATATAAACGGGTTAAATTATTATTAATAGTATTACCATTACGGGTCAGTTTACTCTCGTTTTCTTTTTTGAGAGAGAAAATAGTGTGATAAGTCGTGTTCAAGGGGTAGACTCGACTATTATTTTTATTATTGGTGTAGATTCAACTATTATTTTATTATTGGTGTAGACGCAGCCATTATTTTTATTATTAAGGGGTATATACCTTTGATAGCTTTGAAGAGCTTCGAGAGCTTCTCTACTCTGTGAGCCCGGCCATGGGTCAGGCTCGTCTGGTGTTTGCCTGGTCAACCAGGCTGTTGCTGCTGGAGGCCCGCTGCCCCCACATATCCATCACAGCCTGGTTGATCTCGCATCTGGTGAAGATACTTGCTCATTTTCCTCTTGAAGGCTTCTACATTTGTTCCAGCCGTGTTTCTGATATCTTCTGGTAAGATGTTGAATAGTCTGGGACCCTGGATGTTGATACAGTGTTCCCCTGTTGTCCCCACCGCACCCCTGCTTCTCAATGGGCTTATTTAACACTTCCTCCCATATCTCTCACTCCAGCATGTTATGGCAGTGTGCAGATTTGGGACTAGACCCTCGAGTAATTTCCATGTATATGTTATCATGCATCTCTCTCTCTGCTCCAGTGAGTACATGTTCAAGACTTGCAGGCGTTCCCAGTAGTTTAGGTGCTTTACAGGCTCAATGTCAGCAGTAAACGATCTCTGTGTTTGTTCCAGCTCCGATATTTCTCCTGCTTTGGACGGGGTCCTCAGCACTGAGCAATATTCTAAGTGAGGGAGCACTAGTAATTTGAAGAGTGTCACCATCGGCATTGTTTCCCTTGTTTTGAAAGTTCTCAATACCCACCCAGTCATCTTCCTTGCTGTCGTGATCTTTGTCTTGTTATGGTCTTTAAAAGAAAGGTCCGCTGACATAATTATTCCCAGGTCTTTTACGTGTTACTTACGTTCTATTTGGTGACCCTCTTGAGTTTTGTATATAGTGTTCCTTTTAAGTTCTTCGTTCTTTCCATACCTAAGCAGCTGGAACTTAGTCACCACTGAACGTCATGTTGTTCTCCACTGCCCACTGGAAAACCCTGTTATTTTATTAAGGGACAGACACGACCATTATAATTAAGGGTAAACTCGCCTATTATTATTATTAAGGGTAAACTTGCCTATTATTATTATTATTATTATTATTATTATTATTATTATTATTATTATTAAGGGTAAACTCGCCTATTATTATTATTAAGTCATTATTATTACTATTATTATTATTATTAAGGGTAAACTCGCCTATTATTATTATTATTATTATTAAGGGTAAACTTGCCTATTATTATTATTATTATTATTACTATTATTATTATTAAGGGTAAACTTGCCTATTATTATTATTATTATTATTACTACTATTATTATTATTAAGGGTAAACTCGCCTATTATTATTATTATTATTAAGGGCAACCTATTATTATTATTATATTCAGTAGGAAGCGTAAGCTTTTTTTTAGGTATTGTTATACATAAATATACAAATTTTAGTGATTTCAATTATACATAGCAACAAGTGTAAATTACCTCGGATAAGATATAATTTGTTACAATGATAACCTCTAACTTTTAAATGGGAGTAGGGGTAAGCCAGCGGAAGGCCTCGGTCAGATGACCAAAAGCTCCAGCTACGGGTATGTTGTTATGGCGTCAGGAAACACTTGTCCTGTTTCCTGATAAACATTATACCTACCCACCTAGGATAATAATATCTTACTATCTAACTGTTTAAGATTAAGACACATGTGGATTAAGTGGGTATCTTTATCTGTTGTTCCATCTGAACTGAAGCACTGCAGCAGGCCTACTGGCCCATGCTCGACAGGTTCAACTCACACCCATGTGTACTTCAGCGGCATCATGGCACCTTCGCTGAAGGATTTCATTTGTATACAATTGAATTTACTCTTTAGTAATCTGTTGGTTGAACAACTGTGTATCCACCAGTTTTCTGGGCTTGAGTGTCGGCGTCTGGCCTCCTCTTACGGAGCCCTACCTACCTGGAGGGTATTCTGGGGGTCAACGTCCCCGCGGCCCGGTCCATGACCAGGCCTCCCGGTGGATCAGTGCCTAATCAACCAGGCTGCTACTGCTGGCCGCATGCAGTCCAACATACGAACCACAGCCCAGCTGATCCGGCACTAAGTATCTGTCCAGCTGGTGGGAGGCTGTTGAACAGTCTTGGGTCCCGGACACTCATTGTGTTTTCTCTTAGTGTACTAATGGCGCCCCTAACTTCTTTGGCATTCGTAGGGAGTGATTTCTGTGCGCAGATCTGGGCCCAGTCCCTCTAGGACTGTGGGGGAAGCAAGTCTTCAAGTATGCATCACAACGCACGACCCATACATAGCTTTATGAATATGTATGACAGGCTTCACGAAACCACGAGTGTGAAGCCAGTAGCGGCTAGTCTGAGTAAAGGCCAGGAACTGTGACTCGACCCTTGCAACCACAAATAGGCGAGCGTTGCGCGCACGCACGCACACACACCCACACATGAACTGTGACTCGACCCCTGCAACTATATGCAGGCGAATACACACACACACACACACACACACACAGAGACCCGACCCCTGTAACTATATACAGGTGAGTACACACACACACACACACAGTTATCTGTGACCCCTAAAACTAACAAGCAGCAGCAGCAACACTAACAGTAACAGGTAAAAAGACAGGCCAGTCTACAAGGCACTCAATGTTAAGGTAGAAATTGCAACAATCAATCACGAGCGGAAACTCGGCTATGTTGCACCGGAAAATTTTAATTGGAAAAAAAAAAAAGAATCAAAACTGAATTCCATGAGTGGAAATGATGGGGTGGATAGAATGACAGGATAGATAGATAGATAGATAGATAGATAGATAGATAGATAGATAGATAGAGAGTGAGAGAGAGAGGGAGAGAGAGGGAGAGAGAGGGAGAGAGAGGGAGAGGGGGGAGGGGAGGTAGGTCAGGAAGGGTGACTAATTTAGAGCCAGCGCCACCTTAAAGGGAGACCTGAAACGACAAGATCAAATTTAACAGTACCTCTCCTGTTGACTGTTAACAGTACCCTCCTGTTTAAGAGTACCTCCCCTGTTAACAGTACCCCTTCTGTCAACAGTACACCTGTTGTCTGTTAACAGTACTCCTGTTGTCTATTAGCTGTACATATGTTGTCAAGAGTACCCATCCCGTTGTCAATAGTGCCCCTCCTGTTTTAAAAAGTACTCACGTTGTCAACAGCATACCCTCTCGTTCTCTTAATAGTTAACAGTACCCTCTCCCGTTGTCTATATTAATAGTAACACAATACCGCCTTAAGTTCTCTGTTGTCAAATCAACAGTGCCACCATATACTGTCACTGTTGACACAACAGTGCCACCATATACTGTCACTGTTGACACAACAGTGCCACCATATACTGTCACTGTTGACACAACAGTGCCACCATATACTGTCACTGTTGACACAACAGTGCCACCATATACTGTCACTGTTGACACAACAGTGCCACCATATACTGTCACTGTTGACACAACAGTGCCACCATATACTGTCACTGTTGACACAACAGTGCCACCATATACTGTCACTGTTGACACAACAGTGCCACCATATACTGTCACTGTTGACACAACAGTGCCACCATATACTGTCACTGTTGACACAATCAACAGTGCCACCATATACTGTCACTGTTGACACAATCAACAGTGCCACCATATACTGTCACTGTTGACACAACAGTGCCACCATATACTGTCACTGTTGACACAACAGTGCCACCATATACTGTCACTGTTGACACAACAGTGCCACCATATACTGTCACTGTTGACACAACAGTGCCACCATATACTGTCACTGTTGACACAAAAACAGTGCCACCATATACTGTCACTGGTGACACAATCAACAGTGCCACCATATACTGTCACTGTTGACACAATCAACAGTGCCACCATATACTGTCACTGTTGACACAATCAACAGTGCCACCATATACTGTCACTGTTGACACAATCAACAGTGCCACCATATACTGTCACTGTTGACACAATCAACAGTGCCACCATATACTGTCACTGTTGACACAATCAACAGTGCCACCATATACTGTCACTGTTGACACAACAGTGCCACCATATACTGTCATTGTTGACACACTCAACAGTGCCACCAAATACCGTCAATGTTGACATAACAGTGCCACCATATACTGTCATTGTTGACACAACAGTGCCAACATATATTGTCACTGCTGACGCAATCAACATTGCCACCATATACTTTCACTGCTGACACAATCAACAGTGCCACCATATACTGTCATTGTTGACACAACAGTGCCACCATATACTGTCACTGTTGACAGTGCCACCATATACTGTCACTTGATACAACAGTGCTACCATATACTGTCATTGTTGACACAATCAACAGTGCCACCATATACTGTTACTGTTGACACAATCAACAGTGCCACCATATACTGTCACTGTTGA